TGAGGCCTTATATAATGTTTTTAGACTATATGGAACATTTTAGAACTATGTAGAAGATTACTAAACGTCTAACTATCATGTGACGCACATGTGATCATCAGGTACATCATCTATTATATTGATTACTAATTATGTTACACTAACTAGTAATTTCTAGAACGTTTTTCAAAAATCGTAAATTACTAATAATTTTACTATGACAATCAATCTAGATTATTAAGACAAAAATGTTCTTCTACCCAAAATAGATAGGATCAACTAATATGCAGTAATAGGTTTCTGCATTAGTTCTTGAGATATCGGCCTCTGAATATAGACATTTTCTATACTCACTCTATAATTGCTATATAATAATAATAAAATATAGGTGAAAATATAATGATAACTATAGTAATAAATATAATAATATAATAATATAATAATAATAGTATAATAAAATATAATAAAACAAAAGAAAATAAGAAAAATAAAAGAAAAATTAAAATTCAGTGAAAGTTTGTAGGGTTATATCACTCCCCTCTTTAGTTTCGAACTCCTGGTTGAAATCTTCACATTCATCAAGGTTTACAAAATTTAGCCATGTTTGATCTTGTAAATGCTTTGCTTCTAGTAAGAGGATATCAAAGAAGTCTGAATGATACATGCATTCAAGGATATAGGGAGTAATATCTTTGATAGCATATATAAAATTATAACCTCATATGTTAAAAAGTTGATATACTCTGTTAGCAATTTTTCAGACATTTCGAGCATAACGAGGAGCAAAGTGTATATAAAGTTTATGACGATGAGATGGTTTTCAACCATGGTTTTCAAACAAAAGGCCAAGATGATAAAAGGTTTCCAGAGCTGTACTGTTGGAAGAAGTTTGGTTTTGTAACTGTGTAATAGAATTAAAGATGTGTGCAAGTTTTTGTTCAAAAGTTGTACCAAAGATTTGAAAATTAATGTTGATATTTTGAGGTTCTTTTCTGTCTAAGTCTAATAAATAAATATATATTTGATTATGAATTCGTTGGGCTTCTGTATCAGTATATGTTGTTTCAATAGTAAATTGTTGTTTCAGATGTATTTCGAATTTCTACTGAGTTTTGGGATATAGTTATAGTTTTATATGCATGTAAATGCTGAAGTAGTTGTTGGAGGTATGGAAGTAAACTTTGATATTGTTGTTGTAAGGCCATTTTAATTGTTTGAGATGATGATAAAATGTGAATGTTGGGTAAAATTTTGTGGTTTTTACAATAAAATTTGTGGTTTTCAATTTAGTAATTCTTTGTATAACTTTAATAAACTAAAATAAAATTTTAAACCTATTAATAAACTAAAGCTAAAATAAAACTCAAAATAAAATAATTAAAATAAAATAATATAAAAAAACTAGCAAACACTAATTAATGCGAATTATAGCTAGACTTTAAAAGAATTTTTTTAGCAGCAAACACAATTAATGTGAATTATAGCTGGTTTAAAAATAAGCTTTCACAGTATACACAACTTAATGTGATTTATAACTGGTTTAAGGATAAGATTTTAATAATATACACAAATTAATGTGATTTTATAGCTATATTCAAATTATAAGATAAAAATAAAAAGTTCATTAAATTTAATGCCAGTTAGCCAAAAAGAAATGTCCAAAAATATTATTGCCAGAAGAATTTAAAAGTATTCACAATTATTATATAGTTATAGCTCCACTAAGTTGTAATTGTTTACATGTTTCTATATATTTAGCTAATTTCTTTTCTAATCTTTGAGATAATTTTCTATTAAGAAGAGAGTTGTATACTTGAATCAAGGTAGAATAAAGTTTTTGTAAACAAGTTGGAATAGTAAAACCAAGAGAAGAAATAAGTTCAACAGATTTAATCATCTGTTTTAATCTAGATAAATTAATTCCTCTTTTAAAAATTTTAAAAATCCTTTTAGATTCTTCTAAATAAAAATAAAATTGTTGAACAGATATAGTTGTAGAAGTAGTCTGTTTTTGTTTTTTCTTTGTTTTCTTCTTTTTAATTTCTTGTTTAGGTATAATTTCCATAAAAAAATTATTGTTTATAATTGAAAGTTGTTGTTTATCTTCTTGTTTTTCTAAAGAAGGTTGCAAGAAGCAAGAGAAAGGCTCAAGAGAATAATTTAGAGAGAAGTATCATTCTCATAATTATCTATCCATGGATTAAAGATCAATTTATTATATTCTTCTTGAAAAATAAAAGAATTTTTATCTTCTTTAGTTATATCTTCTTTATTTTCTTCTAAAGTTTCTTGAGTACTAATTATTGGTTTTGATATCCCTTTTCTTTCTTTTATTGTAGAGGATTTTGAAATTATCCAAAAAAAAATAATATTAAAAGTAGTTTGTATGAATAATAGATAATATAAAACTTCTATAATATATGACACAGTAGGAGTAAAGTGTTGGGTAATAGAAATAAAATTTAGAAAGAATTTGCAGATGCAGTCTTTTTGAATTTAAAGAAGGTGTGATTATTCAAAATGAATAAGTGGGTAGAGAAATATTAAGAGTCAATGTTTGTATAATAATATTTATAAAGAAGTTTTTGTCAAAATTTTTTATTTTTTTTTTTTATTACAGAAAAGAGAGTTAAAACTTTAAAAAATTTTAGAGAGATAGAGGAGCATTTTTGTACTAAGTAAACTATATATATAAAAGTAATTAGAGAGGTTTTAAGAATATAAAAGAGATGAGTTTTTAAGTTTAAACTCAAAACTCATAAAGTTATTAAAGAAAACCAAAAAGAATTAATTTAAAAAATTTTAAAGAAAGTTAAGAAAAAGTAAAGAAAACAATAAGATACAAACAAGATAACAAATAAAATAAAAGAAGTTTCTCTTAAAATATAATGATAAGAAAATATATTTATGGTTAATTAGAACTTGATGTTGTTTGTCAGTTAGGATATATTCAAAATATTTATGAGAAAGTTAAAATGTTGTTGGTTAAACATAGAATAAAGAAGAATAAAAGTGTTTAGAGAAGAGAATAAAATAAGATATGTTTATAGATAAGAATATTAAAGAAAATAATTAAGGTAGATAATAATAAATAAAATAAAGGAAGATGATAAGATAATAAAAGATAAAATAATAGAGAATAAGAGAGATAGCAACTAAAAAGAAAAAATTTAAAAGAGAAACTGTAAGAAACAATATTGGTAGATAGATAGATATTCTTTACAAATATTATTTTTCCTTTTAAATATTGTTTTCTGCTAGAAGGCACCAAATATTATTACTGCTTTCAACTCAGGGCACTAGTGGGTGCTTTGCAGAAGGGAGTAATAACTGACAGTTCAGAGTTTAGCAGAGAGTCAATATTTAAAAGGATAGTTTAGACTTATAGAAGAGTTAAATAAAAATAAAAAAGCAATTACAAGAAACAAGACTCAAGTACTGGGCACTTTTGGGTGCTGAAATGAGTCAAGAAAGAAGCAAATACAAACAAAAAAAAACAAAAAGAAACAAAAACTAACAAAGAAGAAACAAAATGAAAAGGTTTTCTTAGAGAAATTTAAGTTTATTTACTATAAAACAATTACAAGAGAGAGAACTACAAAGTTATTAAAGTATATGTGTAGTTATTGTAGTTA